AGGAATGAATTACCCTGAAAACACTTTCATGGCTCTACTTGTGCTGATATTGTAAAAGTCTCTGATATATTTTCTAAGACTCTTCCTCTAACAGAGCAGAGCTCTGATTTACTGAGATTTTACCCTTCACTAGCCTTTAAGATACTGTCATTTGCTGCATCTCATTTATAAAAATTAAGAGCTGTTCTTTCCTCCATCATAATCTGCATTACATGCATCTCATTCAATTATCAGAAACATAGAAACCCAATTAGTTTTAATTTATCCAGACCATTTGCAGCAGAGACAAATACATCTGCCTTTTCTGTTTGAAAAATGAATTCTGCAAATTGCAAGCCATCAACACAAGGGCATTTCTAAATTACTTTGGTCAAGAGAAGTGTTCCATGACTTTCTGTTTAATTAGGATTAATTAGGTTGTTGAATATGCTTATGCTTTTTGTAAAGGAGGGAAACATAATAATCTGCTTTTTGTTAATATTACAGATCAGTTAACAAGCACAAGAAGTGGAAGCCTTAAAAAATGAAAGCAATTTTCCATATATTGAGGGATATAAAGACCCTCAAAAAACCAAAACTGTCATTGATTTCAGTAAAGCCAGAGAGATTTCAAATGCCAACTTCCAAAGGAACTAGAACAGAGATGCTAAGGAACAAATATTCAGCGGAATGAAGTGTGAAACCTTGGTAGGTTAGAATTAGCTTCTCTACACTAGTTTAACTAAAAAGTCTGACAAAAAAAACCCCAAACCTAATAAAAATGCCTCAGCAAATCCTTCAGGATTTGGCCTAATGTGTATATAAGTACTTCTCTGAACATAATACAACAAAAGTTACCAGTCTTAATGTGTTGAAGGATACTAACACAATTGTTGGTTATTATTTTTGGCAATGGTTCAGTTATATCTAAATTTATTTTGCAGGATTAAATAGTAAAACTCCATCAATTTATTTTCTTATCCTTTGTCTGGTGTGGGTCTTCCATGTGTTAAATTTACTATACTTGATGATTCCTAAAGGAGCTTGTTACTCCCTTAGGAGAGGCCTCCCATGATTTTCAGCTGTAGCAAGTTTAGCTGTACCATAAAATAATGGCAGTGGATTCAGAAACTCTTAAATAAGCAGTTGCATAAAGATGTAGAAGTAATCCTTGTGAGCTGGGAATTGTGCTTGGATGCATTTAATGTTCTGTTTATAACCTTAAAGAGCTGTAAGTTGGGCAATCCATTCTGTAGGAGGGTAAAGAAATGACTGAAGGATGTGATAAAGAAATGAGTGAGACAGAGGAATGAAAAGCTATCAGTATTCCTTGCT